ACAAGAATCCTCCAGCTTGCTTCAGACAACTTTCTTCATACCTTTCTAACTGCCTTTATTTAAGTTGAGGGCTCTGGTTTGAGACCCAAATTGCTCTCCCTCGCACAGAATTTGAAATTCTACCATGTTGTGATTGCTGACCCTAGAGGATCCTTAACTATGAGAACTCTTATTAATTCTATTTCACTACACATTCCTAGATATAAAGTAGCCTGTTCTCGGGTAAGTTCTGCAATGTGGTTCTCCAAGAAGCAATCCCTGATGCACTCTAGAAATTCAATTTCTACTTCACCTTTGCAATCTGATTTGTCCAGTAAATATGCAAATTAAAATCACCCATGATATTGTAGTGCCTTTCTTATGTGCCTTCATTATTTGTCGATCTATACTTTGTCCTACAGTGAGGCGAATCTTCGGGGATTATAGATAATTCCCACTTGTCATCTTTCCTTTGTCATTCATTTCAATCCAAAATGATTTCACATCATGATCTATCACACCCACTTCACTAGTCATCAATGCACTGATACCTTCCTTTATCAAGAAGGCTACTCCCCCTCCTGAATACACATATTGAATAATCTCTTGAATAATTCATTCCCAGTCTTGGTCACCCTGTAACCACATCACTGCAAGAGCTATGTAGTCATTATCTCTTTTCATGCCATCAACCTATCTGTCTTGTTCTTTGTTCTGTGTGCACTTAGATAAGAAACTGAAGCATTTCACTTTTTAACCATTATTCTTCTCTGGTTCTAACTTATTCTACGTATATTTTGTACATCTTCCTGCCATACTTCTTCATTTGCTTCTTCACTACCCTGTACTCTACCTCTCTCATACCTTGATTATTTAAACTTCCCTTCAATTGAGTGCTTCCCACCCTTTTCCTGAGTCAACAGTATTGTGCTTGCCATTGTTTCTGGTGCCATGAGTAATGCCAGGTGGTCCATCTGGTTTTCTTTAGGAATTTGGAGCTGTTTATGCATCTGAGGCGTTCTGCCAGAGAGCAGTTAAGTGTCAACTACATTGCAATGGGTCGGGAGTCACGTGTTGGCCAAATGAGGTAAGGACAGCAGTGTTCTTTCCTAAAGGACATGAGTGAACTAGATGGGTTTTTACATTAATGGTTTCATGGTCCTTATTGGGCTTATAATTCCAGAGTTTTATTGAATTCAAACTTTACCATCTGCTGTGGTGTAATTTAAACCTGGGTCTCTAGGTTACCAGACATTACCACCAGGCCATTGCCTCTCTGCAAAAGAAAATTAATTAGCTGAGATGTGGTAATTGTAGAACTGGCTTGGATAGCTGAATTAAAATGCAAATGCCCTCAAAAGATACAACAATTATTCAAAATTAATAGTTAGATGTCCAACTGGTAGTATTTGATGCATTAAAATGTACTTGCATTTCTCCGCAATGTTCTCTCATTAAATTGACACAAAAGTCATTTCTTTTCAAAAATGTGAAGTGTGTAGTAATATATATTCAAAATAATTGTCTTGCATATCAACATTTTGGAAGATTGCTTTAGATGTTTCACAGTACAGGGAAATCTAATATTACAAAATGCAGTTAGTTAAATCCCTGCATATATGTGGGAACACAGTTATTTAAACATTCATATCCTTGAATTTTGAAAATTTTGTTATACCCCAAGGTTTAATTTTCAAATCACTGTAATTTACTGTTTTTAACATGTATATATTTACTTTTCTATACAGTTTTGCATAATTGTGTTTAGTAAAATCTGTTACTTTAAATTCAGCACTTTGTTTTTCTTCAGACATTATTTGCACATTTGAACAATGAACAGATTTTCAACAACTTTGTTACAAGTGATGTTTACCTAGAAGCTAGAGAATAATGGATAGGTGGCAGCAATAACAATAAAACCCTGATTCAAGTCACCTCAAATTACAAGTTCAGGATGAGTTTTTAAAGTAATCTAAATGTTGTTTTATTGTTGATTTAATTAGGTCCACCAATGTTTTTCTTTGAAAATCTAATAAAACTGTCAGTAAGACTATAGAGTGTAGAAGTAAGGAAGGTTTGCATCATCAGGAGAGATCCCATTCAGAGTGAGAGACAGCCCGAACGAGTATGTAGTTCAGGGAATTTGGTGCACCAGATAACAGCTTTTGCTTGCTGTTTTCTTTCTGGCTCATTTTTTTTTTAAACAGCATAAACTGAAGCCCAGGGTCATGGGTGCTGGACAAAACAGTGACATCAAATCATAATGTGAACAATGGAAACATCATGGTAACAAGCCAGCAAGTCTAACTCTGTGACGCGAAAACTTATTGGAAGCAATCCTGAGGGACAGAATTAATCTGTATTCGGTGAGGCAGGGGTTAATCAAGAACAGTCAGCATGGGTTTGTTAAGGGAGGGGGGGAAATCATATCTAGCCAACTTGATTGAAATTTCTTTAGAGGCGACGAGATATGTAGATGAGGACAATGATGTAGTCTACTTGGACTTCAACGTTTTTTGTTTTGTTCAACATTTTTAATAAGATTAGGAACACGTGATGAATGGTAGGATCCTGGGAAGCATCAAGGATCAGATTGACTTTGGTGTGCATGTCCATTGGTCTCTCAAGGTATATGGTATACATGCATTTATTAGCTGTGGCACAAAGTTTAAGAGCAGGTTTATAAAACATCAGGCTAAGTTAAAGTATTGTGTACAGTTCCGGAATCCACATTATGGGAGGGATAATGACAGCACTGGAGCCAGGGCAGAGAAGATTTACCAGGATGGTGCTTGGGCGAGTTTCAGTTCTGAAGACAGATTGGACAGATTAGGATCATTCTCCTTGGAGCAGAGGAGATTTTGAGAGCATAGACAGTATTGACAGGAAGAAACTTTTTCCCCTTGATGGAAGGGATCAAAAATCACCTGGGGGCATAGAATTAGGATAAAGGGCAGAAGGTTTACAGGATTTAGAGATGTGAGGAAAAATGGTCTCACCCAGAGGGTGGTAAGAATCTGGAACTCACTGCCTGTAGGGGTGGGGTAGAGGCAGAAACCCTCCAAAGTAGTTAGTTAAATGCACACTTACAATGCCATGCCATTCAATGGTGTGGCCCAAGTTCTGGAAATAGAATTAGAATAGTTAGGTGACTGTTTTTGACCAGTGTGGGTATTTTGGGGCAAATGGCCTTTTTCAGTACTTTAGATCTCTATGACTGGGTCATGGCAAAAACAGTTTATGTTAAGGAACACTTTATAGGTGGCATTTCTTGACTAGTCCAAGTCTGTTTATCTGGGAACAAATACAGCCCACAGGAAAATGTGCCCAGCCTAACAATTATACCAGATAAAGAAATGGGCTGAGTTTGTTTTGCCTGCAGAAATGTGTAATGGCTTCACCGTTGCACTGGACTACAATTTTAAACGGAAAAGCTAGGATCTTCCAGTAGAAGTGACTTTCTATACCTCTTTAGTGAATCCATGCAGGCAGTGGTTTTTCTTGTGTCCATATATTGTGTGGATGAAGAGTGGGTGTTGTTATCTTTACATTTCAGATGTTGTGATAAAGTCTTCATTCTTTCGATTTATACTTAGAAAAGAACCAGTCGTGTTTTTAAAAGTCCCAACTTTTAAAAGTTGGAAATTATGCTTCATATCTTTTCTGTCTTTAACAATTTTAGAGTTATGCAAATTTACTAACTGTGCCCAGATCATTTGCATAAATTTCTTTAATACGCACAATTAAATCTAACATCTTGCAACTGATCATTTAAACCCAAACAGTATGATCAAGTGACATAATTAAATAAGAAGAAATTAGCAGGGAACACTTGTATTTTTAAAAATCTATTCTTCCAAACTTTTCAGTAGGTTTTAGTTTAACTCTTGAACTAATAGTCTTTCATCTATAATTTTTATTTTTTAAAAAAATCAACTTTATAAAGATAATCCTGCCATGGTATTTGGTTGCACAACTTAAGCTGGTAATGTGTTCCAGTTATACTTTTTGTACTTACCTTCTGAAAAAATAGCCTCAGTTATCCAGCTTAATGTTCTGAACCTTGCATTCACATTTCCTCAAATCACAGAGCCCAATGCTGGCTCTTAGGAGCCATTTAATTTAGCCTCTATTCTGAACTTTTACCTTAACTCTGCTGACTATACCTTTTAAAAAATTATCCAATTACTTTCAAGTTACTATTGATTAACTTCCACTGTTTTTAATCAGGCAAAGCATACCAGATAATTATTCACTGTCCAGAAAAAAAAAATCTACCTTCCCACTGGTTCTTTTCTGTCCTTGGGTTACCAATCCTCCTACCAGGTGGAATTAGCTTCTTCTAATTTACTTTATCAAAATCCTTCATAATTAGATTTACCACCCCACTACCCCCGAAAAAAAACTCATCTGGTTCTAAGAGCAATCTCAGCTTCATCCAATTTTTCCATAGAATTTATGATGGATATTACTTGTACTACATTAGTGCATTTCAGCTCTTGACATTCTTCTAAATTATGGACACATAATTGGACACAATACTCCAGCTCAGGCCTAAATTAGTGAATTACAGAAGCTTAAAAATTCTATCTGAACAAAGTGAGAGCGTGGGAACAAATTGCACTTGCTACATTTCCACAAGAGAAATGATCTAAGAATGTGGATTATTTTTAAAAGGAGGATTTTTAAAAATTGCAGAACCAATCATTATTGTATAACCTAGACAAAACTTGGACAAGGTACTTTTCAATTAGCTGGAAACCAATTACTGAGTCCTGACTCCTGTTATTAATCCCATTTTTTTTCCCATTTGAGCAATACCTAAGCATCACATTGGGAGATGATTGGTGTCTGTGCAACCAAACATTAGCAATGAATCAAAGATTGAGGAAACTGATGTGATTATTTGTATCTTTACATTCATGCTTATGCTGATATTAAAGTCTTAATTCTGTATCATAGATAAAATGTTTAAACTTTAACAAATTAACTTGCATAACCTTTACAAAAACACAAGGTCCTTTGTTCAAGTAGTTTTGTTTATTGTCATTAAAGCGTAAGGCAGTATTTTACCAAAAGGAGATAAATGCTACAAGACATCGTAGCATGCCTTTCAAGACAGTCTTGTACACAAAGCAGAATGACCACGATGACAGAAGTATTTCACACACCTAAATCCTTGCATAATATAAGAAGATGCAATACTGTTTAGCCCCCAGCACATCAAAGCTGCTTTCCAGTATACTGGAATTGGACAGGAACTTTTTTACTGTCTGCATATTGGATTGTAAAAATGGTCTAGCAGTATTGCATTTTCTTTTATCTACATTTTAACACTTTCACCACAGAATAAAAGTTGTATTTAAAATGGATGAGTTTCATTTCCTCATTTGTTGCAACACTTGTAAACTTTCTAAAACATTTTGAGCAGTTGATTTTAAAAAGAGGAATGACTAAGCTAAACCAGCAGAAATTTATGCACATTAATAAGTTGTGTTAAGTGACAAGTTGTTGGAGATAAAATTAAACCCAGTTCAGAAAGGTGATCAGAATCACTCGTCATTAAGGTAACTTAATTTCTTCCTTTAGAATGCATCTTTCCAGTAGGTTCTAAGATAGTGCTGTTTTTGGATTGACAATGTCACTAGGTCTACATTTCCTGGTACAGTACACACTCAGCAACAAAATAATTGCACATAGCAAAAGCGTGAGCATTTTTGTACTCAAAAACAATCAAGTGCTCCTCTACTTACGAAGTGTCTTAAACCTCCTTGCCCAAGGTTAAGAAATCGTAATACATCAAGTCGAACCCAAATTGTAAGCCTGCTGAAAAGTAAGGGTACTGCACCATTACCTCCGAAGTCCAGTTTCAGCATCGATTATGCATTACTGAAAAGTGGCCAACAACTGGTGCAGTGACACGAGTGACTATGTAACTATTATAAAAGGCAGTGATTGTATGATGCAGAACTAATTAAAGAGGACATCCTGTCCCAATAATTAGTATTAATGAAATAGCCCTAATTGCAAAAGCAGTAAGACAAATTTGGACTGGTCTTCCTTAGTTTAGAATTTTTAATCTGGAAAATCTTACTCTGCAGCAATTTTTTTTTTAAAATAAGACAGGCATTAGCTTGGAAGGGTTGCTCAAGTCCGATCAGGAACTATTACAGTTTTCATGGAAGACAATTAGTTGCCAACAAAACTAGAACTCGCAATAAAACTACTTGGAAAACAACTGCAATTTCACAGTTTACAACACGAGTGATATTGTTGACATTTCAGTGATATTGTTCAGCCTTCACTCCTTTGTTTATACATATGGTATTTTGTACTCTGCCCCTCCAAACGTTCTCCACATCCCTTAAATGCAGGGAAGATCTGCAATAGGTTTTGGCCTCAACTTGACACAAAAGTGCAAGAAACATGCATCTATATAGTACTTAGTTGTTCAGTGCAGTAACTTTTAGCACTCAATCCCAATGAAACACCCAGGATGAATGCTGAAAACTTAACTGTGTTGCGTGCCAAAGTTTACATAAATTGCAGCTTAAACACTTGCACAGATAATTTACAAATATTCACAGTAGTTATTCAAAGTATTAGAAAAAGAATTGTCACAATCGGCATTCAGCAGTATTTTATAATGACACGGCATACATAAATGGCTTGATATCCATCAACTTATGATGCAGCCACAGAACAGTATTACATTTTATAAACTTTTAAAATAGAAACTTCCATACAATTATTGTAATATATAGCGGAGCTATTTTAGGAAAAGCCAATTTATTGAATATCCAGTGATAATGAATGGACTTATTTACACTTGAGCATTCTATTTGATAACACATTTCACAAAGGTACCAGATATGCAGTGACGTTGCCAGGCAATGCATTCAATAACTTGCTTTTATAAAGTGTCTGTCTGTTTAACCACATAAATCCAATGCATCATCTTGGAACAGGGAAGAATAATACAAACAGCTTGCCTACATTTCCAGTAGTTTCCTGAGAACAAAGATGACTGATCAAACTCTAACACAGCAGCAGAAATAGTTGGGTCAAGTAGTGATGCACAGGACTGAAGCAAATTAAGTATTTCAAAGTGTGAGGCCAGATTATAAGCTGCTGCTGCACTGGTAATTTTGGAATGAGAAGCAATTATTTGTGCAATCAAACTTTCTGGACCTCTGAGATACAATCAGATTTCAAACAAACTGAGCGAGCTGTGGCTTCTATAGAAGCTGCCACGGCACCAGTCTGTCCATGTGGCTTCTGATGCAAAAGCTAGAAACGCTTAATGTGCACTTTTATTCTTTGGTGTTACAGGATAAATCCAGATACATAATCTGCAAAACATGCCATACTGTCTTTTTGTTAGAATTTAATCCAAGCCTCTAAGACAGGTTGCCTCCCGATTAAAATACATTATATCGAGGATTTACATTTCTTATTAGTACATAGAAGTTTACAATCATCTTGAAAACAGAATGCAGTAATACAAGAATTCAACTGGTTCCGTAAACTACCAGTTATTTTTCCACTTTACAAATAAACTCATTCTACAACCTTTGTATCAAATGAGCTGATTTCAGGAAGGATCATGCAACTCGTAAATGCAGCAGACACCCAGGGTCATACAGATGTTGCACAAAAAAGTATCAAATATTAGGGGTTAGAACCTTATAAGCTGGTAATATCAGTTTGAATACCATGTAAGCATTGTCTGATTGTTGAAAGGATAGTTTAAACTTTAACTCGAAGTATTCACTTGTGCAATGAGTACAGCAGACAGACATACTTGCTGTAAACACTACACAATAAATGATTTGTTTGTCACAAGTGTTTTAGCTATAATTGCATATTTCATGCATGCGTGTGTTGCAGGTTGCAGGCCACAGACACTGAAAAATATTTTGATGACCCAGAATACCTTTTTAAATGTTATTAAAATTATTTCTGTAGGAGAAAGATTGACTACAGAATTTCAATGTCTGGCTGCTTTTAATCCTTTTTAATCACAAGATTTTGTGGCAATTGGCTTAAACTGAAATCATGCGTACTGTTCTGGTAACCTTGTCTTCAGGTATCTAATGACAGGCATGTCAGCAAAGTCAACAGTCAAACAAAATAGCATTCTATACTGTCTTTTTTGAAAGGTCCTATACACATTTTGTTCACACATTCACACTGTGCAAATATCTCATTTCCTCCCTTTTCTCTAGCATTTTATTAAAGAACTGGAAAGTTTTGTTTCAACACCACATCCATGGAAACAATTTTTACACTCCCAATGCAACTGATTGAGGAATGTGGCAAATATTTAAGGTAGCACATTTATCTCTTTTGGCTCAAGTCTTTTGCATAGGACAGCACGCAAACCAAACCTGGAGAAACATGCATCAGTGCACAGTACCACATCATTCTCTAGCTTCAGTAAATAAATACACTAATCATGAGGCAAATTCCCTTAGTTTGGAGATACAAGCCTTGCATTCCTAAATAAAATGCACAAAATTTCACAAATAGTCCACACTTGCTTTTATAAAAATTGCATATACTAATCCCGCTATATTCTCTAAATTAAGTTTGCATAACAAATTGCGATGTATTACTCTGATGACCAAAAGCAGATAATTATTTTTACCTGCATAAGCAGTGCTTTGCCACGTCTCAAACTTTGTTCTGCCTACCTAATGGGTTAAACAGGTTATGGCTACAAAATGATTAACAAGATTTTGGCAGGAAAGAAATCATGATTATTGCAAGCTTAAACGGCAATTTTTACCATCAGGTGGGTCTATTTCTGAAAAGTGAAGAAAGCTGCTCACCAGGCAGGTTAATGGTTAATTGCAAGCCATGACTGAGTAAATTTTACCAACCTCATGAGAAAGGTTGTAACTGGAAAAGGTGTTTACTGAGAAACCAATCCGTTCCTCGGGGGGAAAAAAATCACCAATGGACAGATTTTCCTGCAGGCAAGAAGGGTTAGCAGGAATGCTAATGATCCTTAGCTCAAAAAGAAAACTGATGAAGCTAGATAGTCAAATTGGCATGTTGTTGCATGATATTTATGTCAAACATCACCTCTATTGTTGAATAAAAGTGTATGAATAAGGAAAAAAGTTTTCCAAATCAAATACAGTTGATACTATTTTGATCCACACAAAAAAACACAACTCTGGAAAAAGGTTTACACTAAGAGGCAGTTCTAAAAATGGCCAAAGCTCTAAAGTGCAAGAAGCAAAATGGGCAGTGCTAAAAGGAGCCAGGCCTACATCCACTGCAGCTCCTTCAACTATAATCAGCAACAACATAATATCACTTAGTTTAGATATGGCTGAAGCAGCCCAGTTCAAAAGGAGGAGATGGAGCTTTTCTGAATCTCAGAAACAGATTTTTTAATGCTGTCAGCCTTGAGTTTGTAATCTGTATGCAGTGGTGAGTGAATGTTTTTTTACAACTGCTGACCTGGACATTAAGTTTGGAGCCATGAGAGGTTCACAAGATTAAGTTGTAATTTCACTTCTGCACCATTCCTAATCAGAACAGTAAGTTCTTCGTTAAAATGTCACTGTGCATTGGTTTACTTTTACATTGTTTCAGAAAGTGATGAACCATTCAAAACCTGGTAGATAGATTCAGGAAAAGATGGGGTTTTTTTGTATTCTGTCAGCTATGTGCAGCAGCACTGTACATAATTTAGTGGCTATCCAAACTTTTGTGGTTGACTTCTTAAATATGGTCTAGCACATGGGACCAAACTACATGAATGTGAAGTGATTTATGTAGGCCACAAGTCTGGCTACAAAGCTGGAGATTTCAGATGGCCTAGGGTGAACTTAAGCAACTTTTAACATATTTCACAACTGTAGATGTTCAAAAAGTCTGTATGACAGAAGTGACTTAAATAAACACAAGGGAGTTTAGACCAGGTCTGCAAATCAGATGTTTAAGTTTGATCCATCTAAAAGGGAATTAAAAACAAAGAACTGAATGGAAGTGCAGAAATACTGTTCATAGAATGATACAAAAAATTATTCTTAACAAAATTTAATGTTATGCATCGATTTTCTAATTAGTACTATTTACAAACAAGGTGGAGACATTAATTGGGCTAATTTGGGATATTTAAAAGACTGTCACAGTCCATCCAAACTCAAGATCACAAGCAGGAATGTTTCCTAATTTAGCCAATCAGAAGGTGTGGCACACGAGTCCTATTGGCCATAGTCAACACACCACTTACTAGAAAAGGGTGAAGTTTAACTGTAGTATTACCATCAATAGCTTCACATATTGAATAATCAGGAAATTATATGAATAAGCCTCTATTCTTGTCACCTGCTACTCTGAATCTAGTCTCAACCTCAAGGCATTTGGATTGTCTTATCTAGAGTTGAATAAACTGGACCAAGTAAAGTGCTTGATGGGGGTCAAAGATAGAGGCATGCCTAACCATTTAGCATGATATACAATATAAATTCCATACTCCAGGGGAATAAGTAGACCTGTACAAAACTAGATGAGCAAGCAGCAATTCTAAACCTAGATTAGGGTGTGGCAAAGGACAAGCCGTTCAAGGTGCAAGAGCTCATCTATGTATCGACATTCCAAAAAAAACTGCAAAGTACACTTCCTGCAGTACACGAGGGCGGGGGCGGGGGTGGTGGGGAAGAAAGGAACTTCACTGACTCATCAGAATATTTATTAACATTTCAATGATTCTGGAATATTTCATCCTGTAGTTTCTGAATTCTAACCAAGGAGAACTGCAAAGCTCCATGTTTAGCTGGTACAGATCTTTATTAAAAAAACTTTTTGCAGTGATCTGCCAACATAATTTAGAAACTAACACCTCGTATCTGTAACATGAACAATTTATATTCTGTTCAGAATATGCCTTCTCATTAAAATCATAAAAAACTACTCATAAGATCTATTATTTCTTTAAAATCATGGGTTTTGGAAGCAGCAGGCCTTAGCCATTTTCAATACATGAGTCGTCGAGTAATGGCAGAATGATTAAAGAAAGGATTTGGCACAGAAAACATGGAATCATTAATATGTTCCCAAATGTTGGGTGTTTATATTCCCCATATTATTTTTCTTTGGTACTTTTATGTTATTAAGATTGCTCTGCAGACAAATACAAAATTAAAACATTTGGAGTACACAACTGCAATTTACTTCTAGTAAATGCAATTTGATTAAGTTTAAAAGTTCAGTTTTGATTTCAAATGGGTTGAAGTGCACACATTCTACATAAATTAATTCACTTATTTGCCACCTTGAAATCATAGAGATAAATAAGTGACAGAAAATCGTGTATGCACACCAAAGACTTTAAAACCTAGGGTTTTTAACATTCAACATTCCTGAGAAATAAGTTCAGATTCCATCTCGAAACAGTGCTTAAGCGTTTTGTAACTATGCCACCTATTTTGAATTATAGGAGAGAGCTGTGGACTGGTTAAAGCAGAGGACGATGACATTTAGCTCATCAACTCCAGACCAGCTTTCTGCAACAGCAATTTAGCTGGACTAATTTCATAATCAGGACTTTTATTTTTCCTTTCGTGCTTATCCAATTCATTTTTGAAAGCCAGGATTTGAATTTGCCTTCCCCACACTTTCAGGCATTGCAATTCAGATCATACCCATTATGTATTTTTAAGTCATTTGGAGTACTTCAAAAACTGATTCTAGCTTCTGGTTGCAAGGTTTTTCCATTGCAGCAATTTGTCTTTGGTCATTAGCTAACTTATCAAACAATATACATCAACTCCATAAAAAAATGTACCTTTTGTTCTCGTAATTTGAGGTCCACGTGCATGGAATTGGAAAACATCACTACAGCAATCTTGGTTTTAAATTGCTGTACCTGGAGACACTTAGTATGTGATTATTGTTGGTTCAAATAATAATGGAAAATTTGTTTGAATTGTCTCTCTAGGTCAAATGAACAAAAACCTTATAAGGTTGTGCGGACAAATTTCCATAGTCAACTCCTAACACATCTATACAAAATGCAATGTATTTCAGTATTATCATGGTAACAAGATAGATACATTCACAAGTATGTAATGTTAGGCTAATTCTTTTATTGAAGTTCTTTTGGCTTTGGGTATGTTTGACTTTACTGTAAGATCTGGTATGCTTGGCACTCACTACAGAGTGCATGCTATCTCTGATCTCACTGCCACCAGAGAAGACATTATAATTATGTCTGAATTTTATTTAGATCATTTGAGTGATTTATGAAGGCAATAAAGTGATTGTGGTCTCTACTATTTTAGGAATACTAGATATATAAAAGGTGTCTAAGGAAGCCAAGTGTACTTTGCAGTCAAGATTTAAATGCCATTTATGTCCCTAGTTATACCATTAAACAATTTGCTGCTGGTATGCACTGCCTGCTTATATATCTGAACATGTTCAGATGTGGAAGAAGTTGCTCTTTAATTAGTGTTTCGGGCCTGTTATGGTGAGTTTGTTCATTGTGAAGCCACTGAACAGTATCAAAGCTGTTGCAATATGAAGCAAAAAAAAATCAACGTAATACTATCTCAAGTTCTGAAATGGTACAAGGAACTTCTTATATCTCCCTGAATATAAATAAATCTGCACTGCACCACATATGTACCATTCAAGCTGCTTTAATACCAAGGTCAAATAAAGCATTACTGAGGAATTTGAAGAGATGTGCTCAAACCTGCGTCCCTCTTGTCCACAGTAAAGAGCTATTTTTCGGCTGTGCATGTGTTTGCATGCATGCACCTGGGCATACGTACACACGTTCATTAAAACCTTTAAGAAATTACATCTTTTCTGCATCTGGTGCACTTAAATGCTTGCAATGTGATCCTTTTGACCTCACTATCAGATTCAATCTAATTTAGTCTTTTATATTTCCCAACATTTATAAAAATGATTTGTGATTTCGTTAGGTTCAAATACAGTAATCTTAATTTTCACCAGCATGCTCCCCATTAACAAGAACGTAATTGATAGCTCTGCCAGCAAAGATGTTATTTCAGCATTTTACGAACCAAATGCAGGTTGCTATAATTTCTAGTAATAAAATAGAATTTGTTAATAACTTGCCAACAGATTTAAGTGCATTAATCCCTAACTCTGTAAACCTTTTCTCTAAAACTAGCTGCTTAAATTGATGCTCGCTTACACACAAAAGGAAACGGAGCAAAATATTTAACCTTTTACACTATTGTATTAAGGAATATTTCAAAAGGGACCTGGGTGATTGCAAAATGCTATGAGCCCAGTTGTAACTTAGGTGTCAGCAACTACAGTATGATACAGATATCCCCTCTTGTAGGCACAAAGTGGGTAGAATGTAGCCACAACAAACTTGCCATCGAACATTCTTCCGGTCAGCATCTGCTGGGCTACTTTGCAGTCAGCCGCACTTCTGAATTCAACAAAAACCTGGTTTTCAAAGAAGACAGAGAATCATGGTCTAACAATCTTTTAAAAATAGTTTTGTGCACCTCAGTCTTGGCAGGAGCTACAGAATAAATGCCTGTTGAAGAATGGGCTGTAATTGAAACCGAATATTGAGGATTCACATTTTTATCATCCTGAGCTCCTTGACAAGCTTGAGATGGAATTAGATGGTTCAAGTTTATTTGCAGTAAGTAGTGTAAATGTAAAACATCAAATCACAAGCCAGCACAATTTTTTTCACTCATGAATAGGGGGCAAGAGGTAACCTGTAAGTATTATCAATCTAAAGTAACACCAATCCTGATTCTCATTCTTTAGTACAACCATTTCAGAAAACCCCTTTTGTTTTAAACCCAGAATGGCAGGAATGTGGAACTCACCACTGTGTGGAGTAGCTGAGATCAACAGCATGTGATGTATTAAAGAGGAACATAAGTAATGGAGACCTATGCTGATAGATAAGCAAAGTTGGGAGAAGACTGGAGCAGAGCATAGATTGCTTGGGTTAAACAGTCTGTCTCTATGCTGCCTGTTCTCTGCACTGATGAAAAAACATTGTATTTCCTGTAATGTACATAAAACTGTGGCTCCATGCAACTTTTACTGGTTAAACCATGGGGACTGAAGGTGGAGTTCAGCTCTGGTTTAAGTAGTTTGTGGTATTACTTACGTGTTCTCTGCCTGATGACAGATATTGATCTTTTCATTTCTTTCTACCTTGAACTGATAATTCAGTTTCCATCCCATCCAACATTGTCCCTTTCCTCCCTCAAAACGTTTCTTATTCCTACTAGCTTTTTCCTGATTATGTTCAACAAATTTCTTTGTTCACTCACTCTCCACAGTAACTCATTTGTTATTTTTTCATCTAGCAGGTCCTGTCCATTTTCCAACCATACACTCCAAAGCTATTAAGTTGGTCTCATCTTTCTGTAACAGCCAAGTCTGACTTCTGTTCAAAATCCACTCAAAATTAAACTCTTTAAAAGTTGCTTTTTTTTTTCATTATTCAGCGACAGTCTCTTCTTATCCAATATGGACCTTTGCCATTGCTGTCCTTATTCTTGTATTTGTTACTTCTTCCTTCTACAGTTAATGTACTTCCTGAAAGCTTGAATGTCTGTCCCAGTTCACTTCTAATAAGAAAATTCCATGGTGCTATTCAGATATGCATTAGTTTGTCAATGTTTTCTTTCATTCCAGATTTGCTGCCTGCTGTTACTAGTCTATCTACTAATCCTTGTAATTCTTCTGTGTTTGCTACAAGTGCTTTGCATTCTGCAAGTCTAACTGATGTTAATAATTGGAAACTCCACACACACCCTAATTGGAACATCAGATTCCAAGTCTTCAAATATTTCTTAGATCAATGCTTCTGCACAAAGAGTGAAGAGGAGAGGTGGCAAACAACACTTATCAAAAATTTTCTCCCAATTACACATGGTTTCTAATCCCCATTGGCAACTCAGTGTTGCTATATGTCCCTTATACAAATTTCTAGTCTATCTTTCTGATCTACTCAAATGTCTTTCAACACTCTCAAGAGCTTGATCTAGTCAATCTAATTGAATACTTCTGGAAAAAAAAAAACCACAGAAATTTATCATTCCTATTCAAACTCTAAACCATTCATTCATTAATTATGTCTGCAGATTATTTCTCTTGTCCGTCATAGGACTCAGGAGTAGACCCTCAGCCCTTAGAGCCTGCTCTTCAATTTGGATCATGACTTATCTGACATTAGTCTCGATTCCACTTTGCTTTTTCATAACCCTTGACCTCCTTGTCTTTCAAAAATCCATTAAACTTGGCATTGAATAGATTCTGCTTTCTGGGGAAAGAGAATTTCACACACAGTAAAGCCCTTGGTAGGTTATATTCCTCGAAAGCCTCAGATTGTTACAAACAGTGAACACGGCAGGCTGCTGATGCACAGTACAAGATATATGATGTAGTTTGTACTTTCTACTTTAGAATGTTTGTTCTTTTTCTTTAAAACCATGGTTAAGCAAAAATTAAGAGTCATGAACACAGCAGGACTTCATTCTATCAATGGCCTTCCATTAGAAAACATTTCTCTTTCTCCCTAGATTCTAATATCTATGTAGTTCTCTATCTGAGCTATATATACTTAAGGAAGCGAGGGAAGAGATCGCAGGGCCTTTGGCAATGATCTTTTTGTCCTCACTGTCCACGGGTATAGTGCCGGAAGATTGGAGAGAGGCAAACGTCATTCCCTTGTACAAAAAAGGAAATGGGATAACCCCGGAAATTACAGGCCAGTTAGTCTTACGTCAGTGGTGGGCAAATTATTGCAAAGGGCTCTGAGAGGTAGAATTTATGATCACTTGGAAAGGCATAGTTTGATTCGGGATACTCAGCATGGATTTGTGAGGGGCAGATCATGCCTTACAAGCCTTATTGAATTCTTTGAAGAGGTGAACAAACACATGGATGAAGGTAGAGCAGTGGATGTGGTATACATGGATTTAAGTAAGGCGTTTGATAAGATTCCCCATGGTAGGCTCATGCAGAAGGTGAGGAGGCATGGGATAGGGGGAAATGTGGCAGATTAGATTCAGAATTGGCTGACCCTTAGAAGACAAACGGTGGTAGTGGACGGAAAATATTCAACATGGTGCTCAGTTACGAGTGGTGTACCACAAAGATCTGTTCTGGGTCCTCTTCTATTTGTGATTTTTGTAAATGATTTGGATGGAGGAGTGGAAGGATGGATTAGTAAGTTTGCGGACAATACGAAGGTGGGTCGCATTGTGGACAGTGCGGAGGGCTGTTCTAGGTTACAAAGGGACATTGATAGGATGCAGAGCTGGGTGGAGAAGTGGCAAATGGAGTTTAACCCTGAAAAGTGTGAGGTGATTCATTTTGGAAGGACAAACTTGAAAGCAGAATACAGGGTTAACCGAAAGATTCTGGGCAGTGTGGAGGAACAGGGGGATCTTGGGGTTCATGTCCACGGTTCCCTGAAAGCTGCCACCCAGGTGGATAGAGTTGTTAAGAAGGCGTATGGTGTGTTAGCTTTCATTAATAGAGGGACTGAGTTCAAGAGCCGTAAAGTTATGCTCCAGCTATACAAAAGCCTGGTTCGGCCACATCTGGAGTATTGTGTCCAGTTCTGGTCGCCTCATTACAGGACAGATGTGGAAGCGTTGGAAAAGGTGCAGAGGAGATTTGCCAGGATGTTGCCTGGAATGGAGGGAAGGTCTTACGAGGAAAGGTTGAGTGTGCTAGGGCATTTCTCTTCAGAACGACGAAGGATGAGAGGTGACTTGCTAGAGGTGTACAAAATGATCAGAGGTATAGATAGAGTAGACAGCCAGAGACCTTTTCCCTAGGGTGAAGGTAGCTATTATGAGGGGGCATAGTTTCAAAGTGAATGGAGGTAGATATAGGGGAGACGTCAGAGGTAGGTTCTTTACTCAGAGTGGTCGGGGCGTGGAATGCATTGCTGGAGAGGGTAGTGGAATCGGCCTCATTAGGGGCATTTAAGCGGCTATTAGATAGGCATATGAATGATTGTATAAGGTGGGGTGGAGGTTAGATAAACCTTAGGATTATGGTAAAAGTTCAGCACAACATCGTGGGCCGAAGGGCCTGCACTGTGCTGTACTGTACTATGGTCTGTTCTGTTCATTGTAACCCTCAGCACAACCTTCAATGCATGGGCAGATTATTGTACAAAAGGCACAAAATCGACACGCCTTATGTTTCTCTTTGAGGGCAATCAATTTTGGTCTGTATGAAGTTCTCCAGTCTTTCTTCTGATAAAAGTAAATATTTTTACTGCTAGTCAGAGACCAGCTCTCTTTCCAAGCCAGTGACTCCTTTAATAGACAGGATATATTATAGTTTATAAAATCCAAAACAGATTTCTGATTGGTAAATAAGCATTCAGTTGAATTTCATGATCAACAAAGCCTGAGGAACTGATGGGAAAAATCATCAGGGTAACATAAGACAAAGAACTACCGATGCTGGAGATACTTCAAAGGTCTGGCAGCATCCGTGGAAAGAAAACAGTTAACACTGAATCTTGTGACTCCTGTGAAGGAGGATCACAAGATTATCAGGGTGCCTGCTTTATTAGGGTTTGGCAAAGTTTGTATCAGGAAAATGAATGACTAACCAAGTTAAAGTGAATACAATTTTATTTTTCAAAGAAGCTACAGTGTGTTGATTTAATCATATGGCAGGTTTTCTCAACATGCCCCGTTTCCATTACTAGGTCCAAAAATATCATTAATTCCCAATAATAATGCTAAAGATCTGCATTGGTGTGACTCCCTTTCGAAACTCAAGGTCAAGATTAATAACTCTCAATGTGATCATGGACTTTTAAAAACTGCTGACCATGTGTTATCATCTCCTTTAGGAGGGCAACATGCAACAAGATTTGGAGTAGAGTATCAACAATGATGGCTGCTCTATTTGCTGTAGAACATTCATTTACACTGGTGGGAAAGAATATGTATGCAAACTTTAGATTTGACTATAAATGTGAAGGGACATTATTGATAAAAATGGGTTGATTTGGCCTCAACTTCAATTCCATTGTTGCACTCGAATAGGTCCTGCTCAATGGTTTCAATGGTACTGAACTGGTCTCCAGCAGATAACAAGTCTGGCGAGTGAGTTTGTTATGTTGAAGTAATACTTTACCTATCATGAAAGGAGATCAATAGAAGCAACAGCTGCTTCTGGGTCTGAATTCAAACATAAAGGGAATGAAGTCTGAATATCATTCTTTCTTGAATGGAATCTCTGTACACTGCCAAAACTTGTGGGGAAAGCTGGGGAGAAGCTCCTGATCCTTGCTCAAAGGTCACTAGTCTGAAACAATGACACTGCTTTTCTCTACCAATGTTGCTAAAAATTTCAAGCATTTTCTAGTTCTCTAAGGCAGAGGCGGAAAGGCAAAATGCAGCCCTAAACCAATTCCTCCTGCCTGAAAATTGTTTTATACCCATGCTCAAGAGTTCAGAAATCAGGTGGCCCTTACAACCCAAACTGAGCCTCAGTGATCAGGTTATTGCTGTTCAAAGTACTGCTTGATAGTACTGTTGATTGGACCTATCATTTTTAAGAGGACAGACTGCTGGGACATAGTTAGCTGGACTTGTTTATTTCACCTCCTTGGCAGATAACTAATAAAGCTTAAGTTATCAAATTGTATTGTTCATAAAATTAAGACTTAAGAATTCTTATGTATTGTTGGGATATATTGTCAAAGAGTCTTAAAGTTGGTGAGTCTTTAAATATCAAATTCTGTGATGCAGCTTCAAGAAAAATAATGAAGTTATGATCAGCATGGTAGTCACAGCGCTAGATGTTTCATTTTCTCCTGTTTAGATATAATAATTGTTTACAAGGGCTCTTGTGGGCTCAGTGGTAGTGTCCCTACCTCTGAACCAAGAGGCCAGATTCATGTTATCACATGTCTGATAACATCTCAACAGACGGATTAGAAAATATTAAACAGGTTTAGCAGTTAGAAGGGATACCAAGGTGGCAAAACTGATTGGCTAGATTGTTGTGGGGCAAATTCTGATTGCTCTTTCAACAGTTATGAGTTGCAACTTTTTACTTATTTATTGTGTGTGCTGAAAAAGAGGTGCACATACTTGGGATATATATTGCAAAATCTACCTGTAGAAAGCATGTAAATACAGGGGTGCATCATTGAGATCTCTTTTATTAGTTTGAGGAAGAGGAAGTAGTAATCAAGAAAGAAAGTTACAAGTGGGCGCTTCCTAGTAAGTTAGCACTTGTTTGGGACACTGCAGTTGATGGGTACTTGCCCTTTGTTGAGGAGTTACAGTTAGAACCCAATTATGACTTCAGCAACTGTCGCAAGTTAAGGATTGCCCAAGAATCCAGTTTCCAGAGATCAGTATTAGGGCTAAATAAATTGACTCAAGAGAAATACACTTAGAAATACACCAAGAGAGAAACACTCCATTTTAACCATTGAAGCTGATGAGAAACATCAGCATCTAAGGTAGATTGGGAGCTTTTGGTTTCAAAGGGATCCACAAGATTTGAGTCTTAAAACTGTAAAGAGGTTTAAATGTATATTAGCATTAAAATCTTAAAAGATGCTGCAAGACACAGATTCAGAGAACCAGGAAGAAAAGACCCAGAAGTCCCAGGATTCATGGGAAATTAGAATGACATATGTTGAACTGGTATATCATGCACTCCCCAACTCGTGAAATGTTAAGTATTAATATTCATTGTCCAATAAATTATGACTTGATGGAGGTGTACAAAATGATCAGAGGTATAGATAGAGTGGACAGCCAGAGACTTTTTCCTAGGGTGGAGGTAGCTATTATGAGGGGGCATAGTTTTAAAGTGAGTGGAGGTAGATATAGGGGAGACGCCAGAGGTAGGTCCGTTACTCAGAGAATGGTCGGGGCGTGGAATGCATTGCCGGAGAGGGTAGTGGAATCGGCCTCATTCGGGGCATTGAAGCGGCTAGTAGATAGGCATATGGATGATAGTATAAGATAGGGGTGGAAGTTAGATAGACCTTAGGTTTAGGGTAAAAGTTCAGCACAACATCGTGGGCTGAAGGGCCTGTACTGTGCTGTACTGTTCTATGTTCTAAACCTTGTTTTTTATATTTTACTGATAAGTTATTGCTGAACAAAAATTTTCTTACCCTGGGGCTTAGTAGTGTCTAAATTCCTATATACTGGAATAGCTTGATTAGGGGCATTGCTTGATTTCAAGTAAAGGTCTTCAGTACTATACTGTTGGGATGTCACCTCATAGTCTTTGCTAAAACTAGTGCTTTCAGCCATTTCTTGATACCATATGGAGTGAACTGAATTGGCTGAAGACTGTATCTAAAACACTGTTGACCTTTTGAAGAAGACTGAGGTCAGGACGAGAGTTTTTTAAAAAAAGTCATTAACACCGTTAGACTCAAGCTTAGAAAGGTCTACTTTTTAAGTATTTAATTCTAAAGGAGTGACCTTGATAAACATAAGAATACATGAGGAGGAAATAGAATTCAAAACTGCTGAATCTGAAAAAGATGAGTTAATTGAGGAGTGAAATTTAAAAAAAAAATCAAAATGTGCAATTCTCAATGGTTGAGTTCATCAGTAAAATTTAACCAGTCATTTGACTGAAGATATGGCAAGTACCAGGAGAAGGGAAAACTGCTAAAGTTTGCTCAATATACATCTTTAGACATTTATGTCACAACTACTGCTGAGTTGCCTCAGTGTCACAGGCTGAGGGTTCAACTCCCACTTTAGGGCTTAAACATAACATCAAACCCCAAAGGGACTGCTGCACTCGGAGATGCAGACTTTTGAATGAGATGTTAAATAGAGGTCCAATTTGGACACTCAGGTGGACGTAAAAGCAAAAGTTGCTGTTTACAAACTGGCTGCCGCATTTCCTACACTACAAAAATATACTGGGACACACGATTGTGAAAGGTACTACAGTCCTCTGTCCTACCTGTGCTGCGTTCATTCAATCTCTGGCTCAAGCTGCTCTTAACTCATTCAGATTACACTCTTCCCAAGGAGTAACACTACTGTACTTTGAAAATAGAGGAAACAGACAAACATCAGGGGAAATGTTTACCTGTCCTTTACCAGGATTCTCCTTTGGGACGAGCAGAGACATAACTGGTCCAAACTTCTGACATTCTTCCCTCACATCTTCCACAACGTCTGTTTGGAAAAGCAAGCTAGATTTTAAACTAAATTCAAATACAATAATGTACAAAGACAATACATATTCATAGAACTGCTACAATCTGGAAGCAGGCCATTCAGCCCATCGAGTTCACACTAACCCTCCAAACAGCACCCCACCCACACGCAACCCCTTAGCTATTCCTGTAACCCTGCATTTCCCACGGCTAACCCACCTAGCCTGTACATCCCCGGACAATATGGGCAATTTAGCATGGCCAATCCATCTAATCTGCACATCGTTGGACTGTGGGAGGAAACCAGAGCATCTGGAGGAAACCCATGCAGACATGGGGAGAACATGCAAACTTTACACAGACATTTGCCAAAGGGTGGAATCGAACCCAGGTCCCTGGCTCTATGAGGCAGGAGTGCTGATCACTGAGCCACCTTGTCACCCCAATCGAAGCTAACCAAGTCAAAGCTTATTTCTTTCCAGACTATGTAATCGTTTTGAAAATATCTGATCTAAGTGGAAAAAGTAATACCAACTGACCTTCATATTCTTCACACTGAAGATGGCTATCATCAATGACATTGAGCAGTCTCAGCACTGGGGTTGGAAGCATCACCAAATCTTCAATATGCGGTGCTGATAGTAAAAATTAACATAGTAAGCACCTCATTTTACCTAAATGTTAACTAAAAATGTAAAAGAAAAATTTTATATTTTCCAACAACAGGAAAAAACACTTCAGCTAAACAACTTTGAGAATTGCTGACGAAAGTTTGTCCAAAGGTTCTTCCCAAAAGAAAAAGGGACTGCAAAGCTATCTCAAACAATACTTGTTGTGAAGCTTTGCAAAGGACATTGATGTCCATTTTTACTGAGCAATGGGAAGCAGAGATTTGTATATTTTAGTTTTGCAATAATGCACTGATGTACACTGCATATTTTATAAAGGCAAATTGGTTCAGAAGACTGCAGTTAGAAATTTTACTTATTGTATGCCTGATATAACCTGCAGCATAGATAGAACCAAAGACATTTTCAAACATCTGTAAAGAGAAACAGGTCCTTCCTCCTTCACTTTACCACCATTCTTCAATATGTTCATCAGTGCCAACTATGTATAAAAAAGACAAGGTACACAAAGATCAGATCTCCAAGTTTCACGGCTCCAATACAGTTTGCAATTTATTTGTATTACATGTAAACTAACATTACACATCTCTATAAAAATATTGTACACTTCTGGACTTTCCCCTCTCAAAAAGGTGAAATATAGAATACTGAACATACCAAAGGGAATGCTGAAGAAAGGGTTGTATAAAGCATGTTCTGCTGTAGTTCTGTGTGCTGGATCATCATGAAGCATACTATAAATATTGGGAGAAGAAAGAAAAAAATTGTCAAATACATAAACAGAGCATATAATTGAATTTTTTAAAATAATTAGCTGCAATCATTTTCTTGTATCCACAGTGATGTACTCTTAAATTTCTATTATGACTCCTGGTTTCTGTAAAAATTAGAACTAAACAGTTTCTATACTATTTAAATTGCTAGCCAATTGTTCCCATATTGAAACACAGCATTGCATTAAGATTAAAATAGATCTAATGCTATTATGTAAAAATAAAAACCACTTTAGCAAAGAGAAAGTATTATGAAAGAGTCCTTTTCTGTCAAGTTACAATGGCTATTTTTGCAACGTGGGATTTTCAATGATGAATTTGCCTCTTTTTAATAACTGTGTTGATTATGAAGACATTTCATATTTGATTTTAAGACTTGTGTTTTCAAGGACAGTGGAAAAATTGATTTACTTCAAGTTTGGTGGAGAACCTTGGATTGTTTCTTTAAGAGGTCATAAAGAGCTCATTGTGGACATTAAAGAATTTTTTTTTTGAAACACAAGGCTTCTTAAAAACCATGATTTTAAAAATGTCCATTTGTTGGAGATCTTCTGCTGGGAGATTTTTGGAGTTTGTTCTGGTCTTCAGCTCGGGGTAAAAGAAAAGTGGGAGGAAGGGACTACTCAGCTGCTCTCTCCTGTTTCTGAACAAAAACACAGGTTGACAGCTTAGGGTAAAAGCTATTTGTTTTTTCTGGAAAGTTACTGAAAGAACTTCTCAATATTGCATTTCCTGAACAAGCTGTGTTGGCTGGGACTTGAGGCAGATGCACATGTTTAGTGACCTATGAGTAACAGACCATTGGATTAGAAGACATGAGCATACCACATCTGATCTTTTTTCTCATTGAGCAGTGAAGAGCAGCTAAAGAGTTTTTCCAGAAAGCCAAACTCTACGAGACAAGTGTTATTCTTTACCTGGTGGTGTCAGAGCATGTTTCTGGGTTATTTAGAGCGATGCAGAATAACGCAAACAGTGCATGATCAATTCCTGCACCAGCAGAGGCTACCACAAAAGACTGACTTCTCAATCTCACCCCTCGCCTGAGGCGTCCTGATGCTCACGTTAAACACACCAGTCGTCTTTCTTTAATGGAAGAGTAGTCTTATGGTCTCCGAGACTAAGGTGACACTACCTTTCTTGAAAGTTAAACATTTATACTTCCGTATTATAGACTGTGCGTTAGCCAGTTTCCATCTGCATTAAATAAGTTTTGGTTTGATTAAGAATCATTAATTGTGTAAATTAACATGATTGAGAGATCTTTTTATTTAAATTTTGATATAGATAAAGTATTTAATTAAGCATTTTGGTAACCGAGAAAAATATTTTTACTTTATGTTGTGATCCATGGGTTACAGGACTGGAACAATAGTGCACTCTCTTCCAACTTTGGTCATAATAGGTACATTTAAATGTCTGCAGGCGAAAGGTGTCATATTGGTCCTCTGACTAGTCCAACTCAAATGGAAAATCCACGTTCTGGAGACGTCAATGCAGACTTTTTAAATGAGACAATTGGCTACAAGCCAGAAGCATTGAGAGGATTGTGAAGTCTACTTTTTAAACTATCAGAAGTTGCTCAGAAGTGAAGCCAAAAATAACAAGTTAGTCTCCAGATAAGACTAGGCCATACCGCTCATTATCTACCATTTTTCAACAAAATAAATTTGTTGCAGTGGGCTCTGGCTGTTGTTTGCCTCCTGTCTATTAAATTAGTTTAACTTTTCATATTCAGACTTGTCTGACTAAATGTTTATTATCAGTCTGCCTTCAACAGAACTGGAACAGCAGAGTAAGGGCTCATAGGAGACACAATGTCCAGTGCAATTTCAAAAGGATCTATTATTACTCCTCAGGGATACCCTATGGTACAATGAGTTTCAGACTATTGTAGTCCAGGCCCATCATTGGAGCGACAAATACTACTGAACCCAAGAGAATATTTAAATGTATGGTAGGTTTGCAACTTAAGCATCCCTTTCGGAAGTCTATTTCGAACTCCCTTAGACTCCTTTTTCCATTCATACACCCAGCAATTCTGGTCCTCAAATAACCTTAGATAAATGCACGTGCGTGTAAATGCTTGTTGTGGATATAAGAAATATTAATCAATTATCAGAAAAAATTTGTAAATGTTCAAGATGCTTAATAAGTATAATTAACCTTTTGATAACATCTCTGAGGTGATAAACTGGGATAGCCGAGTATACCATATCTTTACTTGCAAAAATGGAATCGATGATGGCAGAACTGTTTGCCTAGACAGAATAAAATGGAAATATTTAGATCAGAGCAAAAGTCCCAAATGTAATCAAAATGGTGCAGTCAGATTATTAATCCTATAAAAATTGTTGACGAGTTTTTTCCCGGTATAATGGTGCTGTATTTTAAGAATATTTGAGAATATAGTTTTTTTTAAATGGAAAAGGCAAAGTCGGATGAGTTTACAGGAAATACACAACACTGGCAGACAAATTTTGGACAATCCTAATCCTAACCCTATCACAATATGACATGAAATGTCAATCCAAAGCTAAAATTTTTCAGTCCAAAACTGCAATTGTGAAATTGTCATCTTAAAGCTTAAACATCAAGACATTTGGCATCATAGAACTTGAGTATGGCTGAGAAAAGACATTTTGTTGGCGCTTTTTGTCTTGCATTCTTCAAGCAATGTTGTAAGAACAACAAATTAAGAGGAAAGAAGCTTCTAGTATCATTTCTAACCTGGATAATTTAATTGCCCCAACACTTGTGCCAATGCAGCTCTAACAGGCTGCTGAGGTTCGTAGCAACAGTGACTTTTTGAAAAATTCTTCTGATGTTTCAGTTCTCACTGTGGTGATGCGGAGTTCAAGAATTGGAATAAACACCTATTACAATTTTGTCATACAAACTTGATATCATCTCACAATACTGTAACATTCATTCAAGATTAACAAAGAAAAGGTTTTGCTACTAAGGAGGGACAAATACCACAGCCTGGATTTCACAGTCAGCAACAAAACTGACAAAAAAACCAAGTAATCATTATTACCAATGCAAGGAATTTTCAGATATCCAGCAGTAGGATAAGCAGCCAAACACACTGAAGGTTTTTTTCCCCTCCGCCTCAAACTGCAAGCTAGCAAGTAATTTTTAATTAAATGAAAAACTTTAAACAGAGCAAAAAAATTATCAGGGCATATATATGGGACTAACATACTACTGAAATGGCATAAACTTCAAATTAGTTTTGTTTTATAGGTGCAGTAAGGCTTTTCGTGTCTTTTCATTGACTTTTTACCTAATATAGATTTATGCTACAATCAGACTACATGTCACTTAACAAGGTACAACTTTTCGAGGATTATTATCATGGGACCATAGCACAAATGGGAACATTTTAGTCAGTTCAGTGATTTCTAATGACTGGATTCTTGGGACTTCAATAGTGCACCCTCTGCAGAAGCACTGTATTGCTGACAACTCCTAGTTTTGTGTATTTAATATTAGACATGTGGACTCCAGAGGGTGGTGTCAGTTTCAGGAGAGTAATGAAGGCAAAAGCCAACAATTCGAGCCGTATTACTACCACATCTGGCTATTGCCTCGAGGGAAGGGAAAGGTGGGCCATAATGCAACACTGGGAGAATGAGATCCATGCTTGGATGCCTGACATAATTTTGAAGATGTCTAATTTTAAGATGGAACTGAATTTGGACATACTAAGTGCAGTCAGTGGACTCTTGAATGCTCTGCTCTGTTTCAGGCCCAGGATCTCAAATTTTAATTCTGCAGTTTTGATTGAAACTATGTCTGGTTACAAATTTCTCGGGTGTACATTAAACTGGGTTCCCTTGTAAACAAAGCTATTCAAACTGAAAATACATATGTTTGTATAAAATATTTTACTTTGGTGGGAATATGGATTGCTTAAAGATCTTGCACAAGGTAAAGCCACTTCATTTTCTACTGTGACAGGCTAATTTTCACAACTACTAAATGTACATTTTGTGCAGTCATTTTGAAAGCGACCACTGGAATCAGCAAGCCAGATGCCAAGAAAGAAACCTTTTTTTTTAACCATACCCGATTATGCAGCCAAAAGGAATGGGGCTGCTCTTCATGGTTCCAGATTAAAACAGCTACTGTCCCACCACAATAGCCGAGTTATACCCTATCTGTAAATTTATGGCTATTTGCACAAATATGTTAACATGTGAGGCTGAAAATGAAATGGTGCTTCCTTCCTTCTCTCATCTAATCCCTAAATTCTCAATTAATCTGCACCTTGCTTTCTAAACCGACTATATAAATTTACATAAAACTTAAAGCACAGAAATCAGACATTTGGTCCAATTGGCCTTTGTTGGTTTACATGAAATATCAACTTCTGAATTGATGTAAAGCACTTCCATTTCAAATGTGTGTTACACAGAGTTTACAGTTTATGTTAAACTATTGTGGCAAGATACTTGTGCAATAAATTATTTGATTCTCACCTTCCACTGTGGAGATTTGATGGTCTCTTTCAGTTTTATTCCCGAGAACATCTCCAGCAAAATTATTCCAAGGCTCCAGATATCAACCGCAGTTGTACATTCTGTATGGCTTTCCATGCCCATCTGTGCTAGGATGTTATGTAGCTCTGCTTCAGGAGATCTATAACCATCTGTCTGAATATATTTTACATCCTGTATAGTGTGGACAAATAGGAGGAATATCTTAGAAGTACAATCAAGTAAATGTAGTCTTTCTAGCCTTAATAGGTTAGATAGATGATTTCAGATAGAAAGCCAATAGGTTATTTAAAAGGCTATGTTCTGATAATGTTTCTATGAGTGACCTTGGGGCTTTTTAAGACATTAGACTGCTAAGTAAATGCAGGTGGTATTGAAGTGTTTTAAGAAAAAACACATTTCCCATGAAATTAACTGTCTTTATGCCAAATATTTAATGCCAAATAATTAATTAATCATGGAACAATAACTGTTGCTTTAACAATCACCATGAGGTGGTGGGGTGGAGGGTTTTTGCCACTAAACTGGAAATAATGTCAGTTTTATAGGAATGTGAATGCTAGCTCACAGTATTTATTGAAAGACAAGGATGAGCTAATGTTTGCTGTAATTCCAAACAGGAGGCCACATTGAGGATTTAGACATTTTAAAAATGAACTGTTTCCTTGCCACATTCAGAATTGTGGAAAACGAACGGAACCTATGCTTTGAGTGAAGTGGATGGAGAGTGAAGTACAAGAAAGACTGGAATTTTGATAGCTGAATTTCTATCATCACAATGTGCGTTCCAGCCAATGAAGTACTTTGTGGTCAGCGTTATAATGTAAGAAGCGCTGCAGCCAAGTAGCGCTCAGCAATATCACATGAAATCATCTGCTTGGTGATTCTGGTTCCTTTCTCATATATGTATAGAATGAACTGCCAGAGGAAGTGGTAGATGCAGGTACAGTTACAACATTTAAAAGACATTTGGACATGTACATGAATTGGAAAGGTTTAGAGAGATACAGGCCACACACATGCAAATGAGACTAATTTAGTTTGGGAAACTTGGCTGGCATGGACAAGTTGGACCCAAGGGTCTGTGTCCATGCTATGTGATGCTATCCACCACTTGAAGTTTAAACTGTTTTCATAATTTTACAACTTTACTTGGAGAATATATTATCTCTCAATGCTGCATTGTTGATTTGCAAATTGTCCCCATTCTTAAAATATCTGGTTAGCAGAATTCAAGTTGTTCACAGCTATCATTTCATTCACACAGATGTCAGTTTTCAAAGGAGATAAATTCTAGAGCGGTCAATACACCAAATAATTGAAACATTTGTACGTCATGGAACATCATGAACAATGAATCTTGTTGCTGCCACTCGGTCAGCATACATACTGTCCCCTCCGAGTTGTCAAGATTTAAGAAATGCCAGCTCCTAATATCACAAAGTTTTCTAACATGTTATTTATACTACTACAAAGTGCTAAAATCATACTGAATGTTTATTTACAACTGCACAGGATTGCTGAATTCTATATGGCAGCTATGGGAACTATAAAGCTATGTATTTCAGTGCAATTCTAGAAATTTGGTATTATGAATCATTGACCTGCAGAAATCTTGGCAGTTTCAAAGTGATTATAAGCAGAGGAGCGCATTCCCTGACATCTTGTCAGTCAGTTGCTGCACCTCAACCCACTGTAGAAAAAGAAATGATAGAAAAGGTGAACTTTTCTGGGAAAAGAACAACAAGAACTAGATTGAAATGAACACACTTGTATTTAATCAGTCTGGTTGCATGTTTGGTACTAATCAAGATTTTTTTTAATCTTGTGTTTTTAACATCCATTCAAATAGTTAAGCTCCACTCCTATGTTAATGGATCTTGCTTCACAATTTACCTGATTGCCTTCTTGGAAACTGAGCCCAAAGTCAATGAGTTTAAAGCACTCATCCTCCGCACTCCAGAGAATATTACATGGTTTGAGGTCTGCATGTACGTAACCCTCTCGATGAATAAAAGCTAGTGCACTGAGTACATCTCGGGCACAGTGCTGGATCATCCACATTGAATGGCCTTGATTAATGGAGTGTAGCAGCAGCTCTGAGACACTGACATCCAACAATTCCAGCAAAATGCAGTTACAACGCTGGTTTGTGTAAGATAAGTTCGAAAATCTCCCATATAAAGTCACTGGAAGCAAACAGCAGAAAATACAATTAAAACATAGCCACAGAAAATGCAATGGCTGTTGGTGTCGACTACTAGCTAGAAGCTTCTTACTCATTTGTGACAACATTGGACATAGGAAATATGAAATAACGATATACTGCCATTTATTCTGCACGTTGTCTGGAGATCATTTCAAGTGCAATCTTTTTGTACCTACTGAACCCGGAAGACCTCTTACAATGAGAATGTCTGATAACGTTTGCTAACAATGGCTTTTGTATAAATGACCATCGCAAATCATTTCAGTTTTGTTGACAAACCCTACAGCCAATGTGCACCAGGCAGTGAGCTGAACACCATATTAACCTGTCAATAATGTTGTATGAAGGCAGAATGTTGACCAAGACACCATGACAACTTCCCTGACCCCTCTTGAAAGGACACTAGGATCTTTTACACCCACTTCAGTAGCTGTTTAATGTCACTGACAGTATAGCCTGTCTGCACTGCTCAAATTTCAATCCTGCAATGAGGCATTAACTTAGATAAACTCACCAGAAAGAACCTTTATTAACTTAGTGATACAATTTTTATTTAACTCATGATGAATCTAAATTGAGATCATTACTTAACTTTAAGTATATTCATGTAACAACAAAAGGATCTTCATATCATACACCCTCTTCCCATTTTAGAACTTCTATTTCCCAAATTTTCCCAACACTTGCAGTTCTGCAGTATCCAAGCAATTCTATATGGCCATCTTTCAAATGTTAAGCTAAACCTAGTCAAGTATGTACTGCCTGAAAGTAATTTAGAAGATTTTGTTTCTCTCTCAAATTCCCTCTCAACAAAATCATTAGCCATTGATTAAATTCATTGTTTGCAGAATCCCAGTACCCTATCCCAACATCAGTGATCACATTTCAAAAGCTTTCTGATGACATTGCTATCCTAAAAAGTCATGCAAGTCCTTTCTTTGAACTTGACACCTCAAAAACGACTAATTGGTTTACTCCCTATATTCTTTTGCTTAGAAGGACTTTTAAGCATATATGCACTAGAATTTGTTGAAAGTTTTCTTTTTTGCCTCCGAATGATTCAAATCTCCAAAACAATTTTTGTTTAATTAGTTGTGAAACTTAGAGGAATTGATGAGTTAAATCACTGGGTTATCACTTTTATAAAATACCTTCCAGCATTGTATTAATGTCAGAAATCTGTTTCTACCGTATCCTTGAAAGTTACCACAACACAGATGTCTTCAGTTCAGAGTGTTTCTTTTAAAACAGAAGTGGACAAATAGAAAGATGCTCAATCATAGCATCTAAACACTTTACAAATACACCTGGTCCTTAACTTCAGGTAGAATTTATAAAGTATATGATCTTAACTGGTTTAAAAATCTAACCAGCCATCTTATCCATGCCTTACCAAGTTGATGAACACCACTAAGCCCCTCTCCTTGACCATTTTAGCCTTTTCAAACAGTACATGCACCCATTTTCTACTACTGGAATTTAACTTCTTTTGAACTTTTGGGTGTCTTCTCTATCCAGATGACACCTTCAAATTTTAATTTGCAAATACTACAAATTCAGATCACT